CCTCAGGAGGCCGCCGTGTGGCGAGTCCGGTCCCCCCAGACCCTCCTTCGCTCCCAGCTGAAGACCCTCTTTCGCTCCTACTACTCAGTGCAGACAGCCGAGTGGCAGGCCCACCCCGTCCACGGCCCCCGCAGCCCCCTCCCGCGGTTCGTGCTGCACGACCAGCTCTTTCTCCTCAACGCGCTGGAGTGGGCGGCCAGCTCCGTGGAGGTGACGGCAGTGGCTGCCAAGAACGTGGCCCTGCTGGCTTTCAACCGCTGGTACCAGGACCTAGACAAGATTGACCAGAAGGATTTGATGCACAAGGTAAAGACTGAACTGTGAGGGCTCCGGGGAGAGCTGGAAACGTCCAGCCCCCGCTCAAGACGGATCTCCCCCAAAGCAGCGGCCAAGGTTTTACAAGCCACACTCACCCACAGAGCCCTTCTCTGACCGTGGAGCGTCTTTTCTCTCCATTGTGGGTCCTGGTGACCAACTCTCTGCCTCTCCATCTTAAAGATTTTCACAGTGTTGCTTCTTTTGAAGAGGGAGAGTAAGAGAGGGGGAAGGACATTCAAGCCAGTGTATTCATTTATTTATTTTTTCTAAGAAGAAATAAAAATCCATCTTAAGCTGCTTCTGACTTGGTTTTCTAACTAGGAGACAGTGATAACTATGGGAGGGAATATAAGGCAGAGAACTCTGAATCCGATTTCCTTATTGTTTTCCCCTGCCTACTCCCAACATGTACCTGAGGCAACACCTACAATGAAACATGTAACCAGATGGTTACAAATAGAGGGAAGATGAGAAAACATGAGACAGGATTAAAGCTCCTACTTACTGTAGGCTTGCTAGATGCAAGGTACCTAGTTAAGAACTTAATAGACACCATCCAAACCTCTAGAAAACACTGCATATTGGAGGAGGTGACTGTGGTAGGATACAAGGAAGAAACGGTTACCCCAGCAGAGCTGGCAGTATAGCTCCGAGCTTCCTGGTAACCAGTGGGAAAAGGGAAACATAGCAGGCCAAAGGAAGAGGAAAGATTTTCCTTGGCACCTGGAAGAAGTGACCATTCTGTCCCTTAAGCAAGAGTTGAGGAGTAATACTGTGGATCTGTCTTATAAGAAAACAAGTTCCCAGCTGGTGGAGGGCAGTCCTGCCTCATCCCTACGCACTCACCCCAGAAGAGGAAGGGGAGAAAAGAAGGTGCTGAGATGGAGTTCTTCGGAGGCTGGATGCCCTGCCCAAGTCACATCCAGACCTGCTAAGTCTGGCTCGGGGGAGGGCCCAGATCCCCAGGATGCCACGACACTGCCAAATGACATTGACATTGTGAATTCCCAGCAGGAACAGCCCCAGCGGGCATCCAGCTAACTTCCCTCTTTTGGTAGAGATGGAGATAAAAAGTCCAAAGTGAGGAAAGAATTTGCCCAGAGTCTCTGGATGAGTTCATAGAACGGAGCTTAAATCTTGAATGTCTCCTTAAAAATTAATTGAATTCAGTATGGGGCAAAATACCCTTCAAGGAGGCAGAGGCCCAAACTGCCTCTGAAGTTGTTTTTACTATGCGGAAGTGATGGTAGTAAAAGAGATGGTGCCTTCGAAGTGCAAGTAGCGTGCACTCATTGGTCACAGGAAATATGAGGCTGACACTTCAGTAAGAATGCTTTTGGTTGCAGTAGTAGAAAACCAAATTCAAACTAGCTTAAGCAATAAAAGGGTCTTATTGGTTATCATAAAACTCCAGGCACAGGGCAAGCATCGAGCACTGTGGAATGCCAGCGTGGCCTTCACTTCTCTCATGGTCAGAGATGGCCATCAGAGGGTCTTCTCCCATGGCCCCTGAAGCAAAGTCTGGGCTCTGGGCCAAATTGGGCCCCTACTGAACCAATTCCTGTGGCCAAGTGAATGCCACATGCTGATTGGCTTAGGATTCAGCTACTGCACCGGTACCTGGGACACAGGCGATAAGATTAAACTTAGAACAGTCAAGTCCCACGCCTGGGGCAGAGGTGGTCTCCAAACTCTAAGATCAGAGGGGTGGAAAGGGTGTTGGAGAGAGGTACACTGACAACCAGATTCAGGAGGGGGCTGTGCCCTCCCCTTCCTCTCAGGTCCAATGAAATCAGTATGTAATGACCTCTTACAGTACGTCATGGCCTGTGTTTGAAATAAAGATGCTATGGGCTGTCATGGTGTAACCGATGATCGCTGGTATAGGGCCAGAGGACCAAGGCCAGTACCAGACTTGTCCCTAATAACACCCGTCGCTGGCATCCCTAAGGATGTGTGCACAGAAGAGGCAAACCAGGGCAGATACACTGCATCCTCAGCCCGACTGCAGTGGAGCTGGCTGGTCCTTCAGAAACTTCCTTTATCTGGGTAGGCAGGCCTGAACAGCTCAGACCAAAAGCAGGCCAAGATGCCTACGCTGCCTGCTTCCACAAGCCCAAACCTAAGAGCTGGATCCCACCGCCTCTCTGCCTACAAGGAAAGGCCAGAGATTCCTGAAGGCGTCAGAAGGGAGCATGGGAACCAGCAGGAAGCCTTGGCACCAGGGCCACCCTAGCCTTCTCAGGCCAGGAAAGAAGCCCCCAAGGGCCCACAGCTCTCTGGGAGAAGACAGAGCACTTGCAAAGACAGAGAGAGCTCTATGATCTGCCAAACAAAACAGGAAAGAGACCACACCACCTCAGTAGTCCCGGGTGCAACACAGTAGATTTTTAACGCTTCACCCCTAGACTCCACCCCTAGAGCAGGTGAGCCAAGCAAAATTTCAGTACTTTGTGGGGAGGAGGGCTGCGGAGGGTAGAGTTTGAGGTGGGTGAGGCATAGTGAGGGAGAGAGGAATGCCTTGCTCCTGACCCACCTTTGAAAGAGCCACAGGGGAAGCTAAGGGCAGAGCGTGGGCTCCCTCTAGAGGCTTCTGTGCATGTATGCATTCATTCATTCACCAAGCCCTGCACCCCTATTTTGCACCGGGCACTTGCTAGGTGTTGGACATGCAACGCTGAAGGAGTTAAATGAGGCCTCTGTTCTCACGGAGTGGGAGGTTCTCACCAGACAGTGGAAAACATGAAATCCACTTAGAGCAAATGAGGTTCTGGGGTAGTGTAGACCTGCCTCTCCAAAGGTCCTGAACTCCCTGCTGCTGCCTTTAAACCACGGAACTGGGAAGGGCCAGCTGCCAGCCCAAGCTCACTAGGCCAAGCTCCTAAGTCACAGAATAGTAAAACCAGAAAAGACACTGGAGATCCCTAAATCCCACCTGCTTGTTTCACAGATGAGAAAACCGAAGCCCAGAAAGAGGAAAAGGCAAGATCCGCATAAAACTAACTGGCATTTGTTGAGCATCTCTGTGTGTCTGTTGCTCTGGTAGGAGGAGGACAGCCAGAACCACCCAGATGAGGAGCTTCCCCACCCGATCCCTATGCCCTGGGCACCCCGCGGGCTCCCAGGCCCTTACCCCACAAAAAGGCCTTGGAGGCCATGGTCCCTTGTGTTCGGCTGAAGTCTTAAGGCCTGGAGAGCAGGCTGCAGGGGCTTCAGAGAAGAGCAACCCCCCAGGGAGAAGCGGCTGCTGAAGGCATCCGCACGCGCTGGCACATGAAGGCTATTTTCCATGTGTCTGGAACCAGGCCGAAGCTTCCCGGGGTAATTTTAACCAGTATCCACTCTAGAACAATACCAAAAAAGGTAAGTTACTTGCCAGCCCAGACAGGCACATACCTAACCACTGCCCTTTCATGAATTAGACCCTGAAAACATTCAGAGCTAAAGCTGCTTCAGGCACTGAAGTTAGAGCAGCCGAGCAAAGTATTCCTGTGCTGGCTGTTGGCCCTCTTATTGAAATTAACTGTAAAGTGCCAGCTATTCTTACCCTCAGAAAATAGCCTGAGCCCCTCAGCTGTCTTCGGAGAGGGAAGGTATTTTTAGCCCCTAGAACAGCTGATTTAGGATTTGCTGCAGGAGCTAGGAGGGCAGGGGAGGATTGAATTGCAAGGGGCTAATGGGAGAGGGGGTTGGAATTAGCATCCAGGGGTCAGGAGCCAGCAGGGGCTTTAGGGCAAGTCAGTCCACGCTGCCTTTTTGATCAGCAAAGGGTCTTGGTATAAGCCAGTATTTCTCAAAGCGTGGTCCCCATTCCAGCAGCGTCAGCATCACCTGGGAACCACTGCGTTAGAAAGGCGAAGTCGCAGCCCCCGCCTCCAACCTACTGACTCCGTACCGCTGTGCATGGGGCCCAGCAATCTGTATTTAAACAAGCCCTTCGGGGGATTCCAGTGCTAGCTATAGTTTGAGAACCACTGATACAGCAAACCATCTAACCAGATCCCCTTGTGGATAAGGCTGGATGAAAGAATGGTCTTCATTAATGTTCTCAACTCTTGAGTGTTTGTTCAAAGCCAGGAGTCTCCAGCCCAGAAAGACATACCCACATGAAAATTTAGGTGCTCACTGGCCCAGGTTAAAAACCCCTGCTCTTTGGCAACCTGGAGGCTCTTCTCTGGATCTAAGTCTGACATGCAGAGAATCTGAGTTGGAAGAGACTATGTACATCATCGACTCTACCCAAAGGAGGAATCCGCTCCACAACACTCTTGAGAGGCTCAGCCTTAGCTGGACCCTTCCAGAGACAGGGAGCTCACTGCTTCTAAAGGGCCTCTTTGCAATGGCCCTTGACTTAACTGGGGAGAATCAACTCTTGTTCATTCCTAGATAGGTTTATACCAACCAAGCTCCAATAACGTGGCTGAAATATAGGCTTATAAACCCAAATTAAAGAAAGTAACTGTCCTAAATGGTAGACATGAATGCAGTATTTTTGTAATAACCCATCTCAGTGCTGGAGAACACTGGGTGATGGAAAACTCCTCCTTCACATTGATCAAAATCTACCTCCCACCCGGTTTTGGCTTCAGAGCCACAAGGAGCAAACCCAAAGTCTTGCTTTCCAAAAGACAGCCTTTACTTTTCATTGCCTTGCTCGGCACGGGGGTGCAGGGAGGGCTGTCTCAGAAGATGCAGGTGCAGCCCACGGCGATGGTCTCCATGACTGCGCGCTGGCGGCAGGGCCCGGTGCGTGGCGGCAGCGGGCAGAGGCGACGACGCACAGGCACCTGGCTGAACACGGGCACGCTCACCATGCTGCGGTCCTCCTGCATGGTGAAGGGGTTCACGCAGCCCAGACATAGGCACCGCGCCTCCGGCAGGTCTGCAGGAATG